AGATTCAAGGCAATGCTGACCATGTCATGACCTAATTGGACAACACCTTGAATTGTGGAAATTAGTTTTGATTTATTAAAACTAATATTTGTTACTTCTGCACAGCCCAAGCCCAGTCTGCACGACTATAAAAGGAGGAGCAGAAGCAGAAGAAAAGCAAACACTCACATCAAGAAAAATCAGAGTGTAAAATAGAGGTCTAGAATTGAGAGTCCCTTGTATGTAAGTCACCCCTTGCATTGTATGATGCATTGTGGTAGACATAATTGTAAGTGAAGAGGGTTGTTCTTCACGTGTAAAGTCTGTTTAGGAATACTTGTAATCCAAGCAATTGTCTGGTGGATGATTGTTTTGGTTAGGTAGATTCTAGACTGTGTCTCACTTGAAGTTGTTAAGCAAGAGTGTGTGAATTCCTTGATCAAAGCTGTGAAGCAAGATCAAGGTATGTATGAAGTGTCACAACAGAGGTTGTGACATTGGTCATGACATTGGGACAATTTAAAGAAATTTAAATTGGTCATGATCTGTCCTCGTCCTTGTTGAGCAGAGATCAATGTTCTTGGAACACATGTGATATGCATACCAGAATTTCACCTACAATAATACTATTATTTTTGCTCAAATTAAAATAAGATGAGAGATTACCATGTGTGGATGTCATATGAGATGTTACTCTGGTGTTCATGTACCAAGATGGGTCAGACTCAGTTAGATGAAGGGTATGGAGATCAGCTTCAATATCTGTTGGGCGTGGGCCAGTTGCCGCAAAATCAGCTGGTTGTGGCTTGGATCCTAAAATTCCATTTTGTTGAGTTTTTGGGCTAGCATTGGGCCTAGCCCAATAAGACAAGTAAGGGCACAGAGGAGGAGTCCAATGAGGATACTATTGTTAGTGTTTCTAGGAAGAGGTTTGATGCCACTGAGACTGTTGTTCATGTCCACCATTGTCGTAGTATTGTGAGCCACCGCTACTATGATTATGGCGGTCGCCTCTAGTAAAGCTTCGAGCCTTGTTATCGTTGTTACTATTTTTTTCCCATTGTCATTGTTACCACAATAGTTATTTTTGGTGGTGGCCAAACGAACGGAATTGATTAAAGGAGCTGCTAAAGAATATGAATTATCATCGGAGTTTTGTGATTTCACAAGTAAGGCTGTCGGAGAAGAGATGTTTCATAATTAACGTGCAACATGTTGGGTCATGGTTAATTCTTCTAATTCCAACCATGATTTCTCTGTGTCAAATATAGGCAAATGATCTTGATGTTGAATATATGTGACAAATCTTACATATGATTCGGCAAGTCCATAAATCATCTTCAACACAAGACGAGTGTTGTTGATGGGAGAATCAACATTAGTAATTTGATAGACGAGGATTTTGAGGCAATTGCAATAGGCTTTGGTAGATGGTAAATCCTCTAAATTTGTATTGGTGAATTGATGTTTGAGATGGACTGCTATCGAACCTTTGTTATCCTAAAACATAGCAACAATTTGTTTCTAACAACTTTTAGCAGTATCATTGATCACAAGAATGAAGCTGGGAATATAATTTTTGACCATGGCACACATCCACTGCAAAATGACCGTGTTAAGACGGTTCCAGAGATCGGGATCATCAGTCTTTGTTTGCTCGGCTGTTTGATGAGCATTTACATCAGTTGTAGAAATAATATGATCAAGTACATTATGGACATGAGCTTGAACTTGAAACATAGAAGACCAAGAGAGGTATAGCCTAGAATGTTGTACAACATGATCGAGATAATCAATTTCATGTTAGTGATTGCAAAAGCGGAGTGAAAATTGGGTTTTTATGGTGTTGTTTTGATAATGTGAGTGAAGTTTTGTTGAAGAGTTTATAGCAAATGTGTGTGCTTCAGGCATGGTCGCAACATTTGATGAGAGAGAATAAGGATTAAAGTGGCGTAAGAAAAAGGATTAAAGTGGCGGCTAGGAGGAGGTATGGATCGAAACCTTAATTGATACCATATATAAAAATATTTCGATGTCTTTTATTAATCATAAACATATATAATATACAATAATTACAAATCACATAATAGAAAACTAACTATACTTAATCAATACAAATATTCTCGTTCTAATTTATTACTAGTGTATAATATATATTTGGCTTAGTATCCTTTTAGGTCCCTTAACTATACCACTAAGTCCATTTTGGTTTTCTTTCTTTTAAAACGTCCAATTTGGTCCCTTACATTATCAAAAGTATACCACGTCTTTCCTTTCTGTTAGAAATGTTAGATTAGCCTCATAAACTTTGCTGACGTGGTAGGTTATTGCTTAGGTGGCAGGAAAGGAATGCATACAATTAAGAGTACACAATTATCTTTCACATTTCATTTCTTATTCTCAGAAAAATTGAAAGAGGAACCCTATCAGAGAGAAGACAATCGCGGGAACGAAGAAGGCATTGAAGACGACGAAGGTCTCAATTGAGGTTAGTTTTAACCATGTCTTTATCTGGATTTTGTTTCCGTACTATCATTGTATGTTCATATCCTTCGTCCCCCTTTCGTTGTTTCGTTAGTTGGGTTTAGAAGATTAGGGTTTTCGCCCCTTTTATACTTCTTTTTTTACAATTTTGCGTTTTCTTATCTTAGGTAGAAATGGATGAAAATTTGTGTTTGAAAATTCATCATAGTGGTGAGTTTATGGACTCTGAAAAAACTGTGTATGTAGGGGGAAAATGCTATGATTTAAAATTATATGTGGGTAGGTGGAGTTACTTTGAATTGGTTGGTATACTGAAAGATCTAGGTTATATTGAGGTAGAAAACATCTATTGTAATGAACCCACTTTTGGGATGAATGTTCTTAATGATGACAAGGGTGCGCTAGAGGTTGCTGACCTCTGTAGGGTACACTTGACAATTGATATTTACATAGATGGCGTTGAGGGTGTGAATTTTGGGGGTTTGAACAGTGATGGTGTTGTGGGTTTGAATAAAGATGGTGTCGAGGGTATAAATGTAGGTCCTGGGGATTTAAACAATGTTGGTGAGGTGCATGATGGTATATATACTAATGTTGGTTTGTTGAATGTTGTTACAAGTGCTGATGACAGTGAGGATGAGACTTACAATTATGATAGTGCTTTAAAAGTTTCATTTAGTGATTCTGATATGAGTGAGGATTATGTTGAAGAATATTTAGACAACCTACTTGAATATGATAGAAACCATGAAGCAACTAGTAAAAAGAAGGAAAAGAAATGGGAGGTAGGCAGTGGAGATGATAATTAAAGTGAGTATGATCGTGAGGAGTTAGAAAGTGGTTGTGATAGTGAGGGGAGTGTTGCACCAAGAAATAAGAAGTATCTCATGTTCATGTTAATGAAAGATATGTCTAATTATAAATGGGAGTTGGGGACTTATTTTAGTTCAAAAAGTGGCTTTAAGGAAGCAATTAAAACCTATGTTGTCCAATCTGAGAGAGGTCTAAAGTTTTTTAAAAATGACAAACAAATAGTGAGGGTGGGGTGTATGGAAGGCTGCCACTAGTCTGCATATTGTGGAAAGTTGCCTAACAAAGAGACTTTGCATCTTAGGAAAATAGTTAATATTCACAATTGGTTTAGAGAATACAATGTGAAGATGATGATTAGCAAATGGCTTAGCAAGAGGATTCAAAATTCACTAGAAAAATAATCCTAAGATGAAGATAAAGGATATAAAGGAAGAGGCTCTAAAGAAATGTAATGTACGGGTTAACAAGACAAAGGAAATTAGGGCCAGATATGACGTTGTAACAGCAGAATTAATACAAGAACAATTCAAAGAAAAATTGTAGGAATTTAAGTAACACGCAATAGTTATTAACCCAGTTCGGTGTAACGTCACCTACATTTTGGGGCTACCAAGCCAAGAAGGAAATTCACTATGACATTATTAGTTCAAAGTTAAACTCCCCCATTTACAATTTATCACCTAATCACTACCTTGTGCAACTTCAATATAAACACCCTCTAGATATGAGATCCCCCTCTCACTTCCTAATTAGTCACAAACCAGTGACAATACAACAATAACCCAAAATAGAAGTAAACACACTTTCAAGAACAATACTTAGTTTTGCTTAAAAGCATTAAACTAAGGACAATACACTCTTGCTTAAAAGCTCATGAGTGAACAATTGATAATTAACACAATCCTACTCAGATGTCAAAAGACATAAGAGAGGAACACAAACAACAACACAAAAATCCTAGAAAAATTCTCACTTAAAAATACGACACACACACACACACATACACACACACACACACACACACACACACACACACACACACACATTTTGTAGGTTAAAATCCTTTCTTATAAATATCCTTTGAGAAGCATAGGCTTAGGCGTAAAAATCGCAACATATTCAAAACACCAGCTGTAAATATTCTGCATAATCTTCTACACAAAAATAGGAACTAAATAGAAATTCCTAAAAAGGCTCCAAGATCTTTTTTATGAAAAACAATCAAATCTGTCACAACAGACGTTCCCAAAATATCCTCCCTTGGATGACAATAACGTGTGAAAAAACACACTCAAAACTCACACTTAAAATACCAAAACAATCATGCCCTAACTTTCTGGTATAACATGTCTTAGCACATGTCACAACATCATACTGAACATGATGTCTGACTGTCATAGCAGAACATCTGATTTAACATCTTGCTGACAACATATTTTACCAAAATGTTGTCAATCCAAAGACCATAGAACTTACATAAGGATGTCAGGCATACTTATCCACAAGCATGGAAAAGGGAGATGAGAGGAATGAGACAATTACATGAAGAGGCTTTTAAGCATATGATGCAAACGCCGCCCAAATTTTGGAGAAAATCCTATTTCAGGACAACTTCAAAGTGTGATTTTGTTTTGAATAACATGTCTGAGGCTTTCAATAATCTGATTGTAGAGTCAAGAGCAAAGCCATTGGTAACCATGCTAGAATAAATAAGGGGCTACATCATGGAAAAAAGGGCAACTAATAGGGTGAGATTCCCACAATTAAGTGATGGGGATGTTTTGCCAAACATTAAGAAGAAAGTGGAGAAAACAAGCACTTACACAAACTACTGGGTAGTAAGGTACATTATCAATTTTTTAAATTTTGTGAATGTTAGTAACACTTAATTTAAACATTATCAATATTGATATAGTTTGTAGCAATATTCTAATATGAGTTCATCTTAGTTCAATACTTACTTTGGACATTATCAACTCTGTGTTTAATACTTATACAGTTTGTGCATTTTTGTAGGATGTCATTTGAGTTCATCTTTGAAGTTAGACACATTGAGAATCAAGCTGATATGTTTTTTTTCAACTTAAAGGGCAGTGAATGTTCATGCAAAAAGTGGCAATTGATAGCTCTCCCTCGTGTTCACGCAATTTCTGCATTGAAGAGTAGAAGTTTATGTATTGATGATTACATCCCAGAGTCTTATAAGAAATCAAGGTATCAAGTTGTTTATGAACCTATCATTTATCCTGTTAATGGAACCAAGTTATGGGTTATAACAGAGCACCCATATGTGCAGTCACCAAAATTTAAAAAAATGCCAGGAAGATCCAAGAAGAGGAGGAACCGTGAACAAGGTGAAATTGATGGGACGGATTGAAAGATGAGAAAAAATGGAATGGTACTTAGGTGTACCAGGTGCAGACAAACTGGACACAATAAGTCAACTTGTAAAAGGACTCCTTCAACACAATCATCTTAGCCATCCTCTTAACCCACTCAATCAAGGGTTACACAATCATCTCAGCAACCAAGTCAAACCACTCAAACAAGGGCTACACAATCATCTCAACCACTAACTCAAACAACTCAAACAAGGGCTACACACTCATCTCAGCCATCATCTCAATCAACTGTTACACAATCATCTTAGCAAGGAGGGAGGCCAAAGAAGTTACCTGTTAGGAGACTAGTTTAGACATCTGTTACAAAGGGTTCAACTACCAGGCTAAGTGAATCACTAAATGCAGTTGAACCTAGCACTAGGAAGACCTCTCCAACAAAAAGAAATAATCCAAAGAATAACATTTTGTCATCACTAAATGCAGTTGAGCCTAGCACTAGGAAGACCTCTCCAACAAAAAGAAATAATCCAAAGAATAACATTTTGTCATGTCTGTATTGTAACAATCTTATGTAATTTATGTTTTGAGAACACAGTTTATGTCATGTCTATTTTGAGACAAGGTTTATGTCATGTCTGTTTTTGAGACAAGGTTTATGTTATGTTTGTAACAAATTATGTCATGTCTGTTTTGAACAAGGTTTATGCAAGGTTTGAACACTCTTATTTTGAAAAAGATTTAATCAAGTGGAAGTTTATCATTCAATTATTCAATTATAATTCTATTTTGCAAATTTATCATTCAATTTATACAAGCTCATGCAATTTTAAACACTGCATAAAACATTCAAGTAAAATAACATTCATGTTGGAACACTGCAAGTTTGAACTGATGCAACTAAATAATGCCAAAATCAACTTTTACATAACATATTCATGTAAAATAACTGAACTAGTACAACAAATTCAAAATACAAGTTAAACTCCTGCATAACACAGTCATATCAAATAAATGAATTGGTAGATAGTAAGTATTACAACGTCTTGAATATTAAAACAAAGAACACAACATAGAATATAAAACTTTCAAAAAATCTCCACTTTATGGTGTTCTTCAAAGCAGCTTCTAATTCCATATTACTGAGTCGGAATACTTCAACCTCTTTTTTGGCTTCCTCCATCTCTTGAGTTAGCACATCTATCTTATTTTGTTGCTTCATTATGATTTACTCCTTTTCATCTTTAACTTTTTCGTAGAACCATTCAAAGAATCCACAACAAGCATGACTATATTTCTATAGAGATTAAGAAAGAAAATTACAATGTAATAAAAAGACATTTCAACAATATTTCAACCTAGAATATTCATACTAAAGCTTACTTTAAAATGTTGACAATCCCAAAAAAACTTTCCATAATTGTTGACAGTTTTTACCCTTCAAAGTACAGTAGTGTCTCCACAACGATAAAAAGGCTTCCATAAAAGATTAAAGCTGCTAAATACTGACAAATCACTTCTATTTTTTGATGATGATAATGAACCGCAGGCAGTACTCATGACTTGTGCACTAATGTAGACGAATTAGGTTTCAGTTTGGAGATTTGTTACACTATTCACACTAGGTTTAAATTGGGGATAAATGAACTATGTTTCAACAACGAAGAAGAAAAAGGTAATGAAGAGGACAATTCACCTCAGCTGCCACGTCTTTTCTGTCTAACGTCGTTTATCATTATTCAACATACAGAATTTGTTTAATTCTGTTTGACAACATAAGAGACTAAATTAAACGTTTAGAAAAAAAGAACTAAAATAGATTCAGAAAAATAGATAACGGACTTAAAAGATATTTAACCTATATATTTCAAATATATGTGTATATAGTGTCATGTTCGATCATGATAAAAAAGATACATAAAATAATAAAATAAATTAAAATAAAATGCTTAAACATAACTTAATTGATTGAATGTGCCCAATAAATTACAAGTTGTATTAGTTATGGAGGAAACTATCCTAGAAATCATAAAATAGTAACCGGTAAAAAAATATTGTTCTATTCGATTATTTACATGTGTATTATGTGAGTGTTCCTCTATTTTAGAATATGTGATATACATATTCGACTTAGTATTTTTTGTCTTGTTGATGCTATCAATGTGGACACAACTTTTTCAGTATGTGATTTTACAATCTTCACTCTTTTATGTTAGTGATGCTTAGCATTAAACATTGAAACCAAAAGAAAATATAATTATCCAATTCTATTATGTATTGGACTAAGTCTAAAATTTAGCGAGTATAGATCCTAATAGACATAAGAAAAATTCGGTTCACGTGTTCTACTGAATTTATACTCTGTAACTTTGCCTTGGAAGAACTTTTTTTGACTAATTCTAAAATCATTTGCTTATGATTTCAATTGATAATTTAATTTATTTCTAAGTGTAAACAACCTTAGTTATTAGTAATGTGTTTTTCACCAATGTGGATTATAATAATAGTAGCACATGATATAACACCTTGCGGTTCCAAACCAGTATAAGTATCAAGCAAACAAACCTTCCAATATCAATTCATGAAACAATTTTGAATGGGTGAAAAATTTTCACTCTTAATAAAGTTCTTTTTGGACTTGTATCTCTCTCTTTAATTACGAACAAATCAGAAGAGTCGATGACAAAGAAACACAACAAGTACATAAAGAGTTCAGGTGATCAGATAGTATAAAGTAAAGTAATGAGAATCGAAATAAATAAAGTTGAAGAAGGAAGGAAGGAAATAAGTTTGGTCTTTGATAGATCTCATCCTCACTGAAAAGATACTGCATGCACTATCACAACCCTAGCTAGCCACGTTCTTCACTTTATACAAATCAAGAAACCCAACGTACTTTGAGAAACAGAAATATCAGGTCATAGCGGCAGTCTATATCTCATATAGACACAGCATGCATCAGCTTTTGTTATCGTCATCCAATGACCACCTCTGCACACACAACCCTATCACATGTACAGATACTAGCTACCACTGCTGCACACTCTACCCATATTCCCACATTTCATCATCTTTCTTCAAACACTTTCTAGACCAGTTCATATCAGTTACTAATTCATCTTCATACAAATACAAATAAAGGCCTATTCTAAATGTTCACATGGAAAGCATAACTATCATTTCCCCATTTTTGAGTTTCCTTTTCTTCTTAAAAAATACATTAATTACTACTAATAAAGAATATAAACTAGTACATGATCAATGAACAATGCGACAAACAAGGCTTAGTATTGAAATGAAATGATGATATCACTGAAAATAAACCAACCTAGCTAGCTACATAAACTACTCTAAACTAGTATCGTTAAGCCTAATAATAGTTAAACAGAAATAGCAATAATAATCAAAATAAAACAACCAGCATATAGAAATAGAGTAGCATGATTTCGCAACAAGTTTTTTAAACAAGAAATGAAAATGTGATTCATTATCAGTAAGGTGGTGGTCTTGCCGATGGAGTCCAAATCACATCTGACGGTGGCAAGTGACAGCTGTACATAGACATCCCGCACGACTCGCCGCCATGACCTTGACCGCTATCCACCGCACCGGAAACAGAAACAGGTGGAGAAATTCCATCACCGCCTGACACCGAGTTTCCGCCTTCTTCCGGTGGCAACCTATGATAAGATGGATTATTAAACGAAGCAGCAATAACAAACACTGTTCCCGCAGCTATCAAGTTTCCAGCAACAATTCCTCCGACGATCTGACCCTGCGGACCGGCGAGCGAGATGGAGAAGCCGTTAGGAACCGGTGGAGAACCACCAGATGATTGAGGAAGAAAAGTAGCGGTTAAGGATAGAATATCAAAACGGCCGTGAAAAGTAACGGTGGTTCCCGGCGTAGTTGACGGTTGACGAAGAGTAACATTAGCAACAGCTCCTGAACCAGTTAAAACGCATAAGCCGATATTCTTACTATGACTAAACTCAGCAACCGCTTGAACGACGTCGTTTCCTGCAGAAACTTCCAGAATAAAAGGACTCATAGCAGGTTCAGGATCGCGTGTTATAATAACAGGCGGTTTAGGCCTGTTTTTAGATCCAGGCGGACGTCCTCTAGGCCGTCTAACAACCTCAATGGTAGCTCCGTCGCCAGAAGAGTTCGGTTTCTGAGCGGCTGCGCCACCGCCGGAACGGTTATCGTCTTCACCGACTGTTTGACATTCATGATGAGAAAGCTGGAAAGGAAGAAATGGATTGTTTTGCGACTGTGAATGTGATTGGTGAAGCTTTGAATGTTGATCTACGTATTCTCCTTTCATTTTTTTTGTTAAACAAATGCAAATGAATTTTTTATGTTTACTAATCCCAAGAGTTTGGATTTAAATGGATAAGATATTGCAGCAGTGAAATAAAATAGACAGAAAAGAATAAAATAGAGATGAAGAGAGGTTGAGAAGGATAGAGAGGAGAGAAAATAGTTTTCTGGTGAGATGAGGCAAAGAGTGTGAAGAGGTGTTTGGATTTGGTTTATAGAGTTGGAATGTACAATAGAGTATTTATTATATAATATTTTATTGGAAAAAGGGAAATGGTGAGAGAAAGAGAAAGTGGTGGGTGGATGAAGACTAATGGCGCCGCTGGTAACAAAGTGGGTCCATGGGCCCACAGTTACATGTATATAAAGATGGATACATATGGGTTGAAGGTTCTTTCTTTCTACCACCGCCTTTCTTTCTTTTTCTATTTTATTTTTTTTTATTTTTCTTCATTTGTAGTATAAGCTGTTGAGGGAGTAGAAAATTGGTGGCTAAATTGAAAATGACATATTTGATAGGTTTGGATTTGGGTTATGGGGGATGGATGGTTCTTTTCGCTGTGAGACAATTCTACCAATAAGTAATGAATTCAAATATTTTGGTCGGGTCGTTTTGTTTTGTTTTGACATGTTGAACTTCCTCATTGTTTCCTACACTAGCTGACATTCTTTGTTTTACCTTTGGAGGTTGAAAATTTTGGCCATTATCATTTTGTTTTATGTTAAATGGTCATTGGTTTTATGATTGTGTTTACCTAATGGAAATGTAAGTTTTCTACTTTTACGCCATCACAATATATTTCAACGTATATTGTTTGGATTCGGGTTATCAAAGTTGAAATGGGTGGTTTTCATATTCTTGTATACTATCATAATGACATTTTCAATGTGACTTTGTGAAGCGATAAGTAGAAGCTAGCTTTCAATGAATGCAAGTTGACATTGGCATCAACTAAATATCCAAACACGGTTAATTTATAAATATATCTAGATCGTTTGATTGTGTTATATAAATCTCTTACTAAAAAATTTTACATTAGTTTCATAATGATCATTTACTTTGTTAGTAAGAATTAGAATATGAACTAATATTTAGAAAAACAATCTTTTGAAGTTAATATATATATATATATATATATATATATATATATATATATATATATATATATATATATATATATATATATATATATATATATATATATATATATATATATATATATATATATATATATATATATATATATATATATATATATATATATATATATATATGTATTTATTTAACAAATCAATTTCTTTGATTTAAAAAGTCGCGACAGTATATGAAGCATCTAATTTGATACTCCTCATGTTGAATTACGCATCTCCATGTTTGCGGTAAAAATTCATAGAACAAATGTGAGTTTATATTAATACTTAAGAGATCAAACTCGAAAAATCTCTCAGATATATTTGCGTGTCGTTTTTGATCGAAAATAGGGGTGTTCGTCGAAGTCAACGCAAATTTCTAGAACGACATCGTGATAAAGAAACGTGACTGAAATGCAAGGCAAATGCGAACGAAATGCAAGGTCAAACGAAGTAAAGTGCTTGCGTAAAAAGATAAAGTACAGTAAGATAAATGACTGAAAGTTAAAAGACTTTTAAAGTAAAGTGCAGAAAAGTAAAGCTTGCTGAAAAGATAAAGGCTGTCGAAAATAGAATGCAGGAAACATAAAGGCAGTTGAAAGTCAAAAAGGGTTGAAATGCACAAAAACAGGACGTCTTAAGATAAAAATGTTGGTGGTCTTACGGGTTGATCAGAACCTAAGGTGGGCCGAAGACAAACGTCTGTGATGCTGGGTGTGAAAGAGGAGGAGAGGGTGTACCTGCAAGACACTCTGATGCTAAAGTAAGAAAACGAGCAAGAGAGAGAGAGCAAGTACAAAATATAACTGCTTCAGGGTGAATATTGGATATCTGACCCTCTCATGTGAGAGGGTTTATATAATGCCCTCAGCGCTTGGTTATTGGTCCCTATTTTTGGGGCGAGATAACCGTTTCCCGAAGAATAGGTAACTGCCAGAACTAACCGTTGTAACGGGCAGTGTGCCCATAACTAGTCGTTGCTACGGGCAGGGGCATAATTACGGGCAGATGTGTCTTAACTGTTTCTAGATGATGGGTCTATGCGTGACAGGCAGAGACTGACGAGGAGAAGTGTTGTGACCAAGGGTAAATTGGTCAGCCTCCCCTATTGGGGGGCATAAAGGTAAATTCTCCCTCCAAGTGGTTGGACTCAGACAATTGGGTCGTTCTGGAAGCAGAAGTGGATTGCGTCATGCCTAGTCATTGGGTCAGTTCGGAACAGTAGCCCCTCAAGTCGTTGCTACTGAGCATGGTAGTGATGACTTAAGGATAGTTTGCTTCTCGGGCATAGTCGTCGTAAGCTACTTTGTGCTTGAAGGAATCTGTGCCCGAACATCTGAAGTGTTGCTTGTCGGGGAGCTTTAGTTCTAGGGAGATCAGCAGTTGGTGGGATCTGAAGAGTGGGAGTGCCACATGCGCCTCGAGTTGTGTGCTACATTAAATGCGTGATGATGCCTAGGCTAGGGTCATGATGATGCCTTACATGCGCATGCTTGTGCACGTGCCTGGAGTTTGCCTATAAATAGTGAGAGGGTTTGTTCATTCAGAACTTTCGTTTCTCTCTCCTCTTGCTCTCTGTTCCTTGTTTTCCGTCGTTCGTCGTTGTCCAGTTTCTTTCCGGCCATCGTACAAGGTCCGACCAGAGCTACTCAAACCCATAAACTTTTTCCTCGACCAAGTAAGTATGTTGGTTCTTTGATTCTTATCTGTTTTTCTGGTTCTATGCTTTAAAATGCATGTGGTTAGGGCTGAAACGGGGTAGTTCTAAGGCATTTTTGTGGTGGATGTTGGTGGCAACGGTGACGCGACCATTTTCTCTGCTGTCGGTGTCGTAGTGGTTGTTTTTAGGAAAGAGAAACTCAGCAAGCTATAGGTTTTTAGTTGATCCCGGAGTAGTGACGACACGGCCGCATTTGCTGCCGGCGGGAACCATGGATTTCGCTTTTTCCCCGGGTGTTCCAGGGAGAACACCCGGGCACTTCCTCGTTTGTTTAGTTATGCCACTTGAGTAGGGCTTAGGTCGAGGATGTTGTCTTTGGCCCTTTGCGTGCCCTTTCACTTGACTAGCAGTGGAAGGGTGGATTTGATTTTGTCATCGGATTCACTTTTATCCTCTGCTATTCAGGTAAAGGCGATGTCGCGCAAGGTTGTCGAAGAAGAACACCTTAGAGATTTTTCCGAGGTCAGATCCTTGGAAGATATTGAAATGGATGATGACTCCTTGTCCCATGAGGCTGGAGGGGTGACTGCTGCGAGGACCTTGGACGAGGAGTGGACTGTGGCCGAGCCAATGGAGCATGCCTCACTTTTTGCTTCATACACTAGGGATGCGTTTACCACGGTGGGGCCAGAGGAAGAGTGGAGGGTCCACTTCCCATCAGAGGATGACCATATATGCTCGGCGTATGGGGAGAGATTTCCTATGTACGAGTATGTTTTCAAAGAGATAGGGTTGAGGGTGCCCTTCACAGACTTTCAACGGGCAGTCTTCGTACATCTGGACTTGGCGTCATCCCAACTGCATCCAAATTCCATTGCCTTCATGCGGACGTATGAATTGGTGTGTGAATACTTGCAGATCAGGCCACCCTTCCACTCTTCTTCACTATCTTCCATCTTCAACAGCAGGTGTCGGGGAGGAAGTTCAGCTGGGTTTCTTTGAAACAAGGAAGGAAATCATTCAAACCCTTCTCCAAGTTTATCCGGACCTTCAAAGATATATTTTATGTGATCGAGCCCGTGTCGGAGAAAGCTATCGACTCGACCTTCGTGTGGGAGGTTTCTAGGGACAAAAACGAGGAGGATCTAATAGACGAGGAAGGAGAAATAGTTTCCTGGAGGTTGTTCATGTTCCTCTTTTGATGGAGTGGGGCTCACTTTACCTGTTCGACTGATAAGTACATAGTTACTCCTCATCAGTTGGTCGATGATGATTGGACCAGCTATGCTAAGTTGGTGGCCTTTGTGGATGGTTTCCTCCCCACCCAGTATGTGACTCGCGTCAGGCAGGTGCTTTATGAAGAAGATGGGGGGCTACAGGTGGAAGCCCGATACATCAATACTAAAGAGCTCCTCAAGTGTAGCACTCGCGAGGAGGCTCTTAAACTCTTGGGTAGCTTCTTGTTTCTTCTTATTTCGTTCGAGATATTTCTTTTTCCACGTGCTGATGTGTTTGTTGCTTTTGCAGCTAATATGTCTTCGACGCAGGAGAGGATGGTAAAGAATGCCCATGGAAAGATGAAGGGCAGTGCGGCCCTAGGAAGAAGTCGCCTTGGTCAGCGAACGGTTCCTTCCCAGACACGATCAGGGACTTTCTCGTCTACCCCGCCAACCACTCAGACGTCTCTTGTGCCCGTGAATTTGAGGCTCAAGCGTGCCCGCATGAACGAAATCAAGGATCTCCGCCGGGAGTCCGTCAAAAGCAAATTTGAGCTTCCTCCCTGCTTGCATAATAGGAAGTTCTTCGAGGGATTCTCCTTGTCCATTCCTCGGGCAGAATCTCTAAAGCTTGAGGAGATAGATCGTCATAGAAAGCGGACCATGCTTGCGTAGGATGCCTCTGCCTTGATGAGGATCCTAGAGATGGTCGTGGTGTACACCGATGACGACTTTCTCCTTAAGCTTGAGCTGAAGAAATCCCAGGTTGCGGTGGCGGCCCTGGAATAAAAGGTTAAAAAGCTTCAAGAGGAGCAGGATAGGGAGCTCGAAGAAGCTGCGCGGAAGGGTCGCGAGGAGATGACCACAGAAAGGGATGCCCTGGCTGCCCAGAAGAAAGATGCTGAGGACTTGGTGGAGAAGCTGAAAGTTGATGTTGCTCCTGTTGAAGACGAGATCAAGGAGATGAATAAACTGTCGGCTCAAGAAGAGCTGGTT